CACAAAATCAGTCATAAGGGTCAATTTTGTGAAATTGAGATTTATGCATCATCTGAAAGAAGCTGAATAAATAGCTTTCCATTGATGTATGGTTTGTTAGGATCGGACAATATTTGGCTGAGATACAACTATTTGAAAAATCTAAATATTGAGAAAATCATCTTTAAAGTTGTTCAAATTAAGTTCTTAGCAATGCATATTACTAATCAAAAATTAAGTTTTGATATATTTACGGTAGGACATTTACAAAATATCTTCATGGAACATGATCTTTACTTAATATCCTAATGATTTTGGTATAAAAGAAAAATTGATAATTTTGACCCATACAATGTATTGTTGGCTATTGCTACAAATATACCTGTGCTACTTATGACTGCTTTTGTGCTCCAGGGTCACATTTGATTGTATTTGTTTATTTTTGTGTATTTCAAAAAAAAAAAATTTAAATAAAAAAAATATATATATTTTTTGCATTAGACATTGTGCCAAACATGGAAGTCACACAGTGATGAATATGAGTGACAGTAGGGTGTTGGACATTAAATTAGAAAATTGAAGCTCTTGGGAAAGCGCGGATTGTGGAGAGGCTCCAAACTGGACAAAAAGCATCATAAACCTCCTCTTCTGGTGCGCATCCCTCAGGATGAGAAGAAGCTGTTGCAAAGTAGCGGCCCATTGAATTCCCAGCCACGTGGAAGATGTTCACCATCACAACAGTGATAAATATGGCAAAGAGTGATATACCTGACTGCATCCACACACCTCTAGAGGAGAAAATGTGGCCGAAACCAGGTATAAGGTCCTTTGGATTTTAAAAGTAATATTATGTGAACATCTTTTTTTGTATTAAATTATTTTACACAGTAAACAGTACATTAAGCGTTCATTTTATTTTACTTTTTAAATTTACTACTATGTGACTAATATTATGATTGCCTAATGATAAAAAATATATATATTTATATACAGTACATATACACACACACACATATATATATATATATATATATACTTCTTGTAAGCAACTTTCTTGATCAGAATCAACAATGTCTTTTATTAGTAAATAAAGTACATGCTTTACCAAACCCCAGTACATGCTTTTCCTCTTTTCATCATCAGGATGTAAAAGGATATAAATCAATATATTAATATGCAAGGATATAAATGGTCTGATGGTCTTTACACAAGTTAGTACTTCTAACTTTCACAGCAAAATGACAACAGTAAAAAAGAAAGATGGATTCTCTTGTAGGGCCAGTGGGGAGATTCCTCAGGGCACATCTATATCTATATATCTAGATCTATATATATACACAGGTGCATCTCAATAAATTAGAATGTCGTGGAAAAGTTCATTTATTTCAGTAATTCAACTCAAATTGTGAAACTCGTGTATTAAATAAATTCAATGCACACAGACTGATTTTTTTTATTGGTCTTATGGAGTATTCTAATTTGTTGAGATAGTGAGTTGGTGGGTTTTTGTTAAATGTGAGCCAAAATCATCACAATTAAAAGAACCAAAGACTTAAACTACTTCAGTCTGTGTGCATTGAATTGATTTAATACACGAGTTTCACAATTTGAGTTGAATTACTGAAATAAATGAACTTTTCCACGACATTCTAATTTATTGAGATGCACCTGTATGTATATGTGTGTGAGAGAGAGAGCTGTGCTTCCAGTGTCATCTTGGGCCCCCTGGACTCTTCCAGCATGACACTACCAGTGGCTCTCTCCTCACTAGGCCCTGTACTTCAGGCTTTACTCACAAAACAGCTTTTCACACTGTGCTGAGGCAACTATTGACCCTGGTAATAGCAACGTTTCACCTTGGTATTTTTGCAAGATGGTTACCATCACTTTCAACCATTTAATGAGAACCAGGGTTGGGATGGTGGCTCTCACGACCAGTGCTGAGTGATGGGTAGATTATTTCCAAATGGTAGTCCAATACTGATTACAAATCACATGACGAAAACTGAAGTTAGTAACATAATCTGGATCACTCATATTAGGTAATGTATTCTGATTACTTTTAGATTATTTTTGACCTGATTTATCACATAGACTTACATGGAATTAAGGTGTACCATACTGATTAAAAAAATTTATTAAATATATATTTATATATATATATATAGTGGTAGGATCGTTTATAAAGGAAAAGGTAAAAGGAAAACAAAAATAATTCAGGTGAATCAATAAATTATTAATTTACTGCCATTGTCTGAATAATATGTAATATAATATAATTGGACAAAAGAAAGATAAGACAAATTCACACACAGGACAAATGCCGAGTGACTTTTTATTTGTATTTACTGACTTGAGCCAGCATGACTACTTCTACACAGACAAACCTCTAGAAAACAAGACTTCAACTCAGTTAGTACAAGAGTAAGGGACCAATTAAAAACCAAACATTACTCACTCTTCTGCTTTTTGTCTTTTTCCAAGTCTTTGGAGTTCTAAGTTTGTTTTCGGTTCTGTGTACAAGTCTCATAGCTGAAAGAAACATGCATATGACATAATAATGCACATTATAAAGTTCAGTACTGACGACATTTCAAATTAATACAAACAAATGAATGTTATTTCATATAAAGGTATCAAACTTATAGGTCCTTATAGATCAATACTGGAACACAATAATAAGAGTTTCCAATAATAAGCTTCCACAGCTAGTTGAATATCACAATGCCATCACTTCCAGCAAACAGAAAACCTCAGTTACCACATAACTTCGTTTTGGTTTAATTGCACTTAATTTAGTTTCTCCTCACTTGCTGACTGTATTTATTAATTTTACGCCTCAACAAACAAAATGGTGGCACCATTTGCTTGTTGATGCAACATGTTTTCTGTTTCCTGAATTTGTAATGCTCATATAACCATGTGAAAAATGTATAAAAAAATTTTCAGTAAAACACATAGATAATCTTATGGACTCATTTCATAAAGATGACAGAACTGGAGAATATGGATCATGTGAGTTATGAATCCGTGACATTGAGCTCTGCTTACAGAGGACGTACATGATGAAATCGAATACTCTTAAAATAGTAGTGTAAAATACGCGAACAGACTCATAAACCAGAACACCTCAAACTATAGACTAATATAATAAAAATCAATATAGCCTTATATTAAAAGATCAAAGGTTACAAAATCTCAAAACATCGATGAATGTGCCTATATGATCTTATCATGAAAAGCTGATTCGGGATGTTTTAAGCAAGCCAGAGAATGAAAGCCTGAAACTTTGAATATTTTGTTTTCCAAAAAGAGACATTGGTTTGCCCTTCTCGTCTTGAAATGAGACGGCCACACTATTTAGAGCACAGAAACGACAGATAAGGCCTCTCTAATGTTTCATCTGCAAGGGAAATATGTTGACAGCACGTGGCAAGCCCTTCACCATGACTTCACCGTGTGAAGCCGTGTGTGCTCAAGTAAACGTAATCGAGTCTAAGACATATTAAAGCTCTCAGTTCTGCAGCCAGACATCAAATGAAAAAGCAAGCCAGAAGCCCACTGGCTTCGTGGCGCATACTGATTTATGAACACGCGTCGTTCCCGCCTGCCTCACGAGTGACATCGTTAAAACACACACACACTCTCCAACCCGTCGATTTTCATTTTTGATGTTATTTCTGTTTTCTCGCAAAAACAAAACAAAAATGGCACACTTCTATGAGTTTTCCTGCACGTCAACAAGGCAGGGAGGAGGTTTGCATATTTCGTTTGGTTGGGTATGTAAACACAAGTTACCTGATTGGACGGGCTGCTGATTTCAGAGGCAGGAGAGAGATGGACAGAGGAAAAGGGCGAATGGCTATTGACTTGTGACCACAATTCAACAATCCTATGGCTAGCTCTCTCTATCATGTCTAATCTAGAAATGCTGCCTTGAGCTGTAAAATTGTGCAATTGGGTTTGGTGCCGCTAGCAGAAACACACTTCACCTATAAGACTAAACGTTATTTCATTCTGCCCTTAGCTAGCACTACAACATGCACCTGGCTACGAGGACGCTAGCAGGCATGACCATATTTAGCCCTAAACACACGGACACATCATATGGGTTAGCACACAGCAAGCAAGAGAGTGCGTGAGTGGAGCTTTGTACAACGGCTGACGAGGCTCGCACAGCTTCAGTCGCAGTAGATCTTGTACTTCTCGCTGCAGAACACCACCGGCGTTCCCAGGAGGCCGTTGGGCTCGCCTCGACCCCCACAGGTGGCAGCGGCGGCAGGGTGACTCACGTGGGAGTGGGTGGGTTTCCCACGCGAGGCGGTCTTGGAGCGGCCGTTGGCTCTGCCGCGGTGGGACTGCTCGTTGTCAAACTCCAGGTCCTCCAGGCGCTGGGTGAGCGCCAGCTTCTGCTGGATGGCCATACGGAGGAGGGAGTTCAGTGTCTTCTTCTCATCATCCGCAGCAGCCAGCTGCCTCTGCATCTCATCCAACTGAGTCACGTACTCGTCACAGCTGAGAGATAAAGAGATGGTCGATATATTAGTACTACAAAAAAAAAACCATTCCTTTTTGGTAACATTGTCCATAAGGCCGTTTACACCTGGTATTAAGAAGCATTTTTGTCAATCAGATCACAAGTGGACAACACTAAATAAGGTCTGAAAGGGGTCTGAAAAGTTATAAACACATTTGACCAGACTGCTTTCGTAATGTAAACTGCAAATGTGTTCGAACAGCCACTAAAGGTGCCTCCTTCTTTACCTACTGACCTAATTCTTAAAGATTACAGGACATGTTGTTAAAGCACAATAGCAAGACAGGATTTAAACTTTGCCAGCTGAAGTCGTAAGTCTGGTTTGAAGGCAAAAATCAAACAAACAAACAAAAAAAACACAATGTTCTTGTTTTATTCCTGCTTCTAACTCAAACCCACAGCATTTGGCGTAGTTTTGCAGCTATCACAGCAGAAACAAATGCTGCTGCTCTGTGTCTCTGTAATCTTCCTGACTTGTCTCAATTCCTCAGCAAATGCAAATGTGTTCGAACAGCCACTAAAGGTTCCTCCTTCTTTACCTACTGACCTAATTCTTAAAGATTACAGGACATGTTGTTAAAGCACAATAGCAAGACAGGATTTAAACTTTGCCAGCTGAAGTCGTAAGTCTGGTTTGAAGGCAAAAAACAAACAAACAAACAAAAAAAACACAATGTTCTTGTTTTATTCCTGCTTCTAACTCAAACCCACAGCATTTGGTGTAGTTTTGCAGCTATCACAGCAGAAACAAACGCTGCTGCTCTCTGTCTCTGTAATCTTCCTGACTTGTCTCAATTCCTCAGCAAATCCAATAGATCAGAAAAACTTGATGTTGTAACAGAAACTATAAACTCTCAGAAACTATAAACTTTTACTATAAACTTTTCTAGCATTTTAGATACGGTTGGTCCTTTATGCTTAAAGAAGATTAAGGAACCCAGTCCGACACTGTGGTATAACTAGCACACTCGCGCCTTAAAGAGAGCAGCCTGGAGAATGAAGCACAGCTGGAAGAAAACAAAACTAGAGGTATTTTGTATCGCATGGAGGGAAAGTATTTCTACTTATAGAAAAGCTCTAAAATTGCTAGATCTGCTTACTTTTAATCTCTTTTAGCAGAGAACAAACACAACCCCAGGCATTTATTCAATGCAGTGGCCAAATTAACAAAAAATAAAGCATCAACAGACAGACATTCCCCAACAGCACAGTAGTAATGACTTTATGAACTTCTTTACTTCCAAGATCGATACTAATAAAGATAAAATTCTAACCATGCAGCTAGGGCTGTGCAAAAAATCGAATGCGATTTTCATGAGCATCTCGTCAGTAAAGTCGCTTCTGGTGATTAGTAGTAAATCTCCAGCACATGCTTTCAGATGGAGTGGCATTGGTGCAAAAAATCGAATGCGATTTTCATGTGCATCTCGTCAGTAAAGTCGCTTCTGGTGATTAGTAGTAAATCTCCAGCACATGCTTTCAGATGGAGTGGCATTTACTACACAGAGCCGTAGTTCACTGACAAGCTACACAAAATCGCGTTCAAAATCGCGGGCGATTCATTGCCGAATCTAAATTCATTGCGGCTTTACTGACGAGATGCTCATGAAAATCGCATTCGATTTTTTGCCCAGCCCTACATGCAGCCTTCAGCTAGAGTACTGCATCAGACAGTCCACTTTAGATCCCCCGAGGAACAATTCCACTCATTCTCAGCTATAGGAGAGGAACAATTGTATAAACCTGTTAAATAATCAGAACCTACAACATGTATGTTAAATCCTATTCTAACTAAGCTACTAAAAGAGGTGCTTCCAGAAGTCATAGATCCTCTTCTGAATATTATTAATTTCTCAATGTCATTAGGATGTGTCCCCAAAACCGTCAAACTGGCTGTTAAGCCTCTCATTAAAAAAACACAACTTGATCCAAGAGAATTAGTTAATTTTCACCCTTTTCTGTCAAAAATACTAGAAAAGGCAGTATCCTCTCAGCTATGTTCCTTCTTAGAGAGAAATGGTATCTGTTATCGATTTCCAGTCAGGATTTAGACCGTATCATAGCACTGAGACTGCTCTCATCAGAGTTACAAATGACCTACTCTTATCATCCGATCATGGTATTGTGTATTTTTCTATTAGTGCTACTGGATGTTAGCACTGCGTTTGATACTATCGACCACAGCATTCTTTTGAGTAGACTACAAAATTATGTTGGTATTACTGGAATTGCATTGGCATGGTTCAAATCATACTTATCTGACTTTCATCAATTCTTAGCAGTGAATGATGAGTTATATCGATCACAAGTGCAGTATGGAGTACCTCAAGGCTCAGTACTAGGACCGCTGCTTTTCATGCTTTACATGTTAACCTTGGGAGATATCATCAGGAAACATGGAGTTAGCTTTCACTGTTATGCTGATGATACTCAGCTCTATATTTCTTCGTGGCCTGATGAAACATACCAATTTGCAAAACTAACGGAATGCATAGTTGATATAAAAAACTGGATTACTAGTAAATTCCTACTGCTAAATTTAGTTTTAATTATTGGACCAAAAACCTCCGCATGTAATAACTAGTGCTGTGTTCGATACATCGATATGACGATGTGTTGTCACAGAGATTTGATGATACGAGTATCGATACAGCTGTCCCTGTATCGATATTGCGGCACGTGCGCTGCAGTGGACCACGCTTAATTTGAATACAAGAACACAGTTTAAAACTGAGTAGAAAAGTGCAAGGTTTCTAAAAAATAATGAATAGA